TGCTCCCTGGCCCCTCAGTCCAGGRGGGGGAGAAACCCCACAAACCAAGGGCAAGGTGGAGGGAAGCCAGGTGGGTGACAGGCTGCTTCCTCCTGTCCAGTGCTCCCGTCTTCTGGGCATGGACATCTCAGAGCTCTGGGCGGCTTTGAGGAGGTCCGTCCCTTCTCTGCTTCTCCTGCAGGYAGCCCCTGGAAGCGGCTTCTTCCCCCCGCCCTCCCCTCCCCATGTCCCCCTTTGCCCTGGCCTCCCTGGRGCTGAGGGTGCATGCTGTCACTGGGCTCCAGCCCCTGTGTTCCGTTCCTTGAGGCCTGGGTTGGGCAGGGAGGAGTCATGATGGATGTTTGCAGGTATGTCGTCAGCATGGACCAGGACAGCGGCAGAGCCGCCTCCAGTGCTGCCTTCCCTTGGAATGGGAACATCCTGACAGAACAGTGCCCATGGCCACCCAGCTGGCTGCATGAGCGGAAGGGCCCAGGGCAGAGCGTGGGTGACTGCAGGGCAGCAGGTACTACTGAGTGGGCGAGTGCGCCTGTCCCTTTCTGAGCACACGGGTTCCTTGTGCTCYCCAGCATTTGGATACACAGGGCCATCTGCTGCCTTCCAGCCATTTCCAGTACCTGGACATGGGTCACATGCGTGCTCTGAGAGAAGATAACACTGAGGCCAGGTCTCACCCGGGGTCCCTAGTGCTGGGTGGAGCAGCAACCTGGTCAGGGCCCAGGGACAGCCCAACTTGGTGCCTGCAGAGCCTTGGGTTGGTTACCTCTGCTCCGCCCTTCCCTGTCCCGTGGTGTTGGCTGTCAGCCTGGGGACAAAGACCAGAGGAAGCCTGCCCAGAGTGGACAGACCACTGGGCCAGGTACCAGCTGCTCTCTGTGCTTCATGTCAGCAGCCTGGCACTGTGGTGGCCAGCAGGCTCYGGTCTGGGAACAGTATGTTGGGGGGTGGGTTATCTTAATCCAGCTAATAGCATCACACATGTTTCCTGACTGTGGAAGTGGGCCAGGTCTTCCAATGTCCCTGGAAAAGGATTAACAGCTGTGCCTTTGGAAATGTCCCTCAAAGCAAGCCTCAAGTCCCCACACGGTGTTTCTGCTGATCCTGGCTCTCTGCTGCCACCCCTCAGCAGGCACAGCTGTGGGAGCAGAGGAGTGGGCCACCTCTGTCCAGCAGGTACTGTGAGAGGAAACCCGGGCAAGGGGGCAGCTGCAGGTGAGGGGAGGCTGGGCAAGGTGGTGCAGGACCGGGCCCTGGGGGGAGGAGGGCAGCAGGTCCCCGTGCACTTCCCAGGGCTCCTCCAGGCAAAGCCCACCCCGGTGGTGGTGGTGGTGAGTGGAAGCTCAGGGCCGGGAGACCCCTTGGAAAGGAGAGGAGGAAGGCAGAGTCTGTCCATCTGCCCAGGGTGGGGTGTGTGGCACTGTTCTCCATGAGGATGCAGCGCCACCTGCTGTCCCCTTCGCACAACCAACGCTGGGACCTAAAAATGATCCCCCAAGGAGATTCCACAGGTGAGTGGAGTGGCAGGCACAGATGACGCTGCATTTGGCATTTCAGAGCCTTGACCTTTTCAAAGGAGGACTTGGCTTTGTTTGGAACGGGGTCAAACTAATGGARTCTTTCCTAAGTGTACAAACAACAGGGCTCCTTAAGAAAGCTTCAGAGAGATGACAACAAGGCAAGAGACCGCCCCTCCATCCTGGCAGCTGTGTTGGCCCAGGAGACAGTGGTCTGTGCACCGAGACCTGGCAGTGAAGGGCAGAGTCCAGAGCTGACCCTGCCCTCTTCTCCTCTGTGAGCCGGACGCTGGGAAGGGCTGTGGGGCTCCAGTGAGTTCATCTGCGAGGAGACAGGCGCAGAGAGGGTGAGCGCACGGCAGGCGGCTCCAGTTGGGACGCATGGCGGCCCTGGTGTGTGGGGCCAGCACCCTGTTCTTGGCGTCTTCAATGGCGCCTCTGTTCTGACTAGCTGCTGTGGCTTCCAGGGGGCCCTGAGGCCTGGCTGTGGTCAGGAGCAGGGCGATCGGTGTTTCCCTGGGGACAGCCTGCTCCCTCCTGATGGGGAGAGGCTCCAGGGGTCTGGCCAGCTTTGCTGTGGGACCCTGAGAAGTCACAGAAGCTCTTGGACCCACGCCTTTCTTACCTGGAAGATGGGAAGGTACAGAGCCAGCTTCCCGGGCTCGCTGCAAGGGCGGAGTGGGCTGCCCCCCCCCCCCCCCCCCCCCCCCCCC